TCAGGAGATTGAGCTCTACCTCTGAATGTTCATCAATCATCAGTAATCAGATTAGTCTGAATAGCTAGCTCTAGCAGAATTTGTACACAATAACTGACAACACTCTGTAACAGGACAGTCCCTGTTCTTCCTCAATCATAGGAGACATCTGTATTAGGGGACAGTTCCAAACTAGAATGGTAGTTCTGAATCTGTAACAGACTTTACAGAACAGATGCACAGAACCAGGGAGGATACACAAGCTCTTTTAGAAAAGGTAGTACAGGTTATGAAGCAGAACTATGATCAGAAGAGGTCTGTGGCCAAGGATTACCAGCCTAGTGACAAAGTTATACTAGAAGCTATTAACCTGACTACAGATCATCTAATGAAGAAGTTGGACAACAAGTGCTTTAGACCCTTTGTTATTGAAAAGAAGGTCAGCACCTCTGCCTACAAACTCCAACTTCTAGCAACATGGAAGTACATACACTTAGTGTTTAACAAGGTTCTACTGTCTCAATACTATGATCCAGGTTTTCCTTCACAACAAAGACCCTTACTGCCTCTACTAGAACTCATTAGTTCTGAACCAGAATACAAAGTAGAGTATGTAGTAGATACTAAGCTAGTGTACAGAAAGCTCAAGTTCCTTATCTACTAGAAGGAATACCCAGTTGAAGAATACACTTGAGAACCTGCTGAGAATCTCACCCATACTACTAAGACAATCTAAGACTTCTATTGACTTCATCTGGGTGCTCTGTATCAACTCTGCCTCACAGATTTCCAAACCCTACTGTTCTAACCTATGTCTGAACTGCTGACTGAGTCTAATACTCACTAATCAGGACAATTGGTTTTAGAGGGGGGGTGATGTTACAGTTCTCTACTCTTATACCTTCAGTTCTGAGGGTTCTACACCTTGCTTGGACTGCCAGAAACTTGTAAAATTGTTAAGATGAGACTATACAAGAGTATGTCTCAGATAATATAAACTACATTACAAGTAATGACAAACAATGATAGAATACCTTCCATCATACATTCTACATCTGAGACATACCTACATAGTATATATAGACTAACTAATCAACAGACAATGAAGCAAGCTGTAAGAGAGTGAGCTGAGTCTACTATCCCCCCTCTTTGTGTGATCCCTCTAAGCCTCTCACATAACCTCTCTTCCTCCTTTCTTAACAGGTTATGAGCCTTGTACTCCCTGCCTACACTTTATCTACACTCTACTATGTCTATACTCTATACAGTTCTACACATTACATGTATGCACACAGTATACTATAACACAGAACTTGACTCTGTCAGTAACAGTGTAGAGGGGACCCAAAGGCTCAGCAAGGGGACCCAGGCTACAACTATTCTACACAACAGAAATACAGAATACAAGTACTAGAATGTAGTCAGAACTTGCAGAACAGGCAGAGAGAGAGAGTGAGACAAGAGTAGAGTATATAGAGTAAGTCTAAGAGTACAGGGCTACCTGGAGTAGACAAGATCAAGACTACAGGACCAGTCTGATCTCATACACCTATATATACTAAACTACACAAGAGTACTCAAGGAGTATGAGCCACTAAGAATGATAAGCTATGAAGAATGAAAGAAAGGAATGTCAAAGATAAAGGTACAAAGAATGAAGGGATGGACAAAGGGTAAGAGACTATAGAATGATACAAAGAATGAAGGGGTGGTCAAAGGAATAGAATGACAAAGTAAGGAAGGGTAGTTGTAAGAGTCAGTACACATATAGTCTATAGACAGTGCCCCTGAGGGACAGAAGTCCTAAGTTCTGGTACAGAAGAGCAAAACTTTATTCCTGTTCTTTACTGTTCAATGTATGGCTTACTAAACTTGACTCTTCCTATCTGGTTATTGTCTCCCAAAATATTTATTCCCTTTATGTATATTCACTCCTCTCCTGTCCTATACTAAAGACACTGTAGTCTCAGCTGCCCTCCCTAGTCAAGCAGCCAGCCAATGCCCCTACCCCTGACAAATTAGACAAGATGTCCAAAATCACTCTCAGAAAGAAGAATGCTGACACTCAGGCTGCTTTCTGTGTACACTGTGCCAACTATATTGCTACCCTTGAAGAGACAGGTCTGTCTGCTACTAAGTACCTAAATATTCATGTTCTGACAACTAAGTGTCTGTAAATTGTAGTAACCAGCTTAGAGGCAGTTGTAGTCCAGCTTCAGGACTTGTGTTGTAAGGCTTGTACCAAAGCCTCAGAATTGTGTCAGGAAAACCACTACAGTGTCTAGTCTGTAGATTATATAGTATATACAAAAATATATTACTTTTGTACTTAGATACAAAGAATAATACTCTAACTCATCTCTTAAATTTTTTTTCTCTCAGGTCCAGTTATGGACCAGTCCAGAACTGGACTAGAACTTGGGTCTGGTCTACTACCTGTCCACATAGGTCTGGTCTCTAGTCTAGGACACTCCTAGACTGCAGATTTGGTCCAGTCCTGAGTCCAGGTGAAGTATGCCCAGACCAGACCAGGACCAGACTTCAGCAACTATATGCCACACTACAAAGAAGTACAGTAAAACCTGTCAATAAGCATACTTGTAGTTTAGCATTTCCTCTCAATAAGCATGAAAAATTTGATCCACCAAGTTGGTAGGCAGGAAAATAGAGGTATATTAAGTATAAAGGGCATTAAGTATTAAGCATTAAGGTGTGAGATTGAGAATATGCTTAATTAAAGGAAATTTTGGGTCATGTGACAGTGCAGATCATGACCCAGAGAGAGCCACTTTTTGTACAGGCCACCTCCATTTTGTAAATAAATGCATAATGTAATGAAAACCACTATTAAAACTTATTGTTCATCATGTCTGAGGAGCTTGGATGTGTACAGAACCCAGATGGAACACTCAAGAATGCTAGTGAAATTGTTTTCACTTATTCTAGAGAAGCTTCCCCTGTCAATCTCTCAGCTCTGCTTCCAGATATCCATACTTCCACTGGTATTCATCCACAAACGAGTACAGTCAATGATACATCTCTACCAAAGGATCCTGCCTATAGTAAAGCACCAAAGTTGAAGCATCAAAAGCTATACAGAGGCTGTCCAATTGCTTTCAAAGCTCAATGTGCTCTTTCAGAGTGAGATTGGTGCTGAGTTTACTAAGGCTAGAGCACTTTTTCCAAAGCTTACAAGAAACCTATGCAAGAAAATAAATAGTTCTCTTGAACAGACTGATATTTGGTTGTTTTTTAAGTAGACAATGTATTATTGAGTTATGTACTACAAATAAGGAAATTTTATTACTTTACTTAAGCTACTGTCAACAAGCATAACCTCTTATTAAGCATGGCCTCACCTGTCCACGGTGGGTCATGCTTAATGACAGGTTTCACTGTAGTATGCAATCTGTACTATTCTTAGCAAAAACAACTGTGACCCATTGAATGAGGCCAATGGAAATCGACAATATTTGACATCAAGAAAAAACAAGCTGCAAATAAAATCAACTACTATGAATTGGCCGAGATTAACTTGTGCAGTTATGGTTGAAAGGTGGTACTAATACTAGTAGCTGTCTGAAAACTGTCCAACTGTGGCAGAACCAACATGTCTTCCCAAATGTGTAGTCCATCATTATCAACGTTTTGTAGAAAATTTATGCACTATATGCTGTATACAATATGGCGATTTGCATATTGTACTAATGCCCGTACTTCTCTAACTATAAGTAAGATGATGAAATAAATAAAAACTATATATAGAAGTTATGCATATAATATATAAATGACCATAAAAGGTATACCAAACAGTTTAAATACTATTAGCAAATTGCTTATGATAGTAAGACCACAGTGTTTGCAAAGTCACATGTATAGTATAGTTGATCTTTCCAAGCAGCAATTACTCATTCTCTATTTAGAAAAGTATATATTTGCACAAAAGAAAGTTTTTGCACTCTGGATTACTATCTGTAATAACTGCAATGTAGTAAGATATTTAAACAGCAGTAATTCGACTTTTAAGCCTAATAATCAAGTGTATAATCAAGTAGACAAGTGGTAATATACTTTAACAATGTCAACTCCACAGAAAGAATTCAAAGACCTGCTTGAAAAAATTCCAAATACTTCATACAATGTGCAGAGTGATGCAAGCCTAGTTACTCAGCAGATGGATGACAAGAGTGAGTCATTTATTACTTGCTGCATTAATGAGACAATTGAGTCTGACTGTATCTGGTTGACACAATGAAGCAAACCCTCTCGAAATCATTAGCTTTGATATCAGTAGTAATAACTTGATATCATATTCTGCTAAATATAAGGGTCAAGTAAAAGATGGTAAGATGAAGCGGTTGGACACAGTCATACATGATTTGCTACACCTTATGACAGTAAATTCATAGGAAAACTATACTTACAATAAAGTAACTACTGATTGCTTAGTAAATCGAGTAGACAGAAGTTAGAATTGTAATGAATGAAAAAATATTATGCTTGAATATTGAATAGTGTATGACAATGTATGGCAGGCCAAATTCTGTGTACAGGTATTCAACTTGTCTTTTGTCTGAGTTGTATTCCTTTTCCAGACGTGAAGTCGACCAACGTAATATGGGACTGGTAACTAGATGGCTTATTTTTGTGTCATGCATACGAGAATGTTGAGGAAGCAAAGATGCACTTGCAAGTATTATCATTACCGAAGACGTTGGCGAGGCACTGAACTCAACATAGTACAGCCCCTGGTACTGCCCTTTGAAGGAGTTTTACAAATGTACCCATAGTCTTTATACGCTTGTATGCCTATAAGCACCCCAGTATACGCATACGCGCAGAACCGTAGTATCAAGTTGTCCGTTTCACTATGTTACAACACGTTGCTGTACAGTACTTGAATTACACAGGAAACTCAAGCTGTAATAATCACAGGAGCTGGTCGATTGCTTGATTAAAAATGCTTAATGCACGATAGTGCAACAAAGCAAACTAACTATATTGTCTAATCTACAGTCTTTTTACGTAAATTCCCTATACTTTTGAACGCAAAGGGGGTCAAAAAGGTTTACTGCTAATGGAAGGTGATTACAATGAGCCAAAATGCCGCAGCCGAATGAGAGATGCCACACTTACCTCGTTCTCGTTCAAGCTTGTGAGAATCAATACGCGCTATATCCTGGGCGGGATTTGCATTGTTCGGGATTTCGTCTTGTCCAAGACCATCCAGGGCACATTCGGCGTGTGCAAGGTCTTCTAATAATCGGGCACGACGAGAGTCACCCTCAGGGAGAAGATTAACTGTTGTGTGATACAGGATTATCGTTTCATGTAAGTCGACATTCCGCCCATAATGATGGAAGCGAGAGATTAGAGCATTAGCAAAACTTGACAGTATTCCGGGTCGAAGACGCCAATCATCGGAGTAAGAAACGCTAATGGAACAACGGTACAGCTCGATAGCCTCGTTGAGTTCTTGAATCCTGCCGGAGTGAAGAAAACTAGCATGTAGTGAACCCGCAAAGTTGCTCAGCACGACGAAGTAGTGAGGAGTGATTCCGTGATAAAGTTCCAATAACCTTCGAAAGAGCTCCACCGCTTCTTCAAGGCCAATTACTGTTCCTTGTCCTTGAAACCGAATCATCAGAGAAGCCGCAAGTTCATGGCATACCATGAGTTCACTAGGATGTGTTTGACCACCCGGCAACGAAAATCGATTGGGGAGGCCTTCGCGTCGAACAAGAGACAAGGAATTCCTGAACATATCGATGGAGTCGTCCAGATCTTCAGATGAGCCGAGCCGTTCGTACCGATCCCGCAGTAAGTATCCTAAGTCGAAGAGTAAGGATGAGTGAGTGGAATCATCATCGTCATAAAATGTGAGTGCAGCGCGAGCGTGTGAATGATTAGATCAAGGTCCTCGATGGATAGGGCTGGTGACATCCTGCTGTCAATGATGGTGAATCTTTCTCTGGCTCATGTTTATTTAATTATTTCCGGCACCTACTGTTTGTTTATCACAACAAAGGGTATTATGCGGCAAAGCCATGTTCATTGACATGGGCAAGAAAAGATTGAGGTTCGAAAATAAAGCATAAAGGCAACCTCATTCAAGTTTGTTCTCACCTTGCATCATAAGGCGGAGCGGTACGAAGGTTTACTCATTCGAGTTTGTCCTTGGTATGTACTATAAGGCGGAATATCAGGGAATGGTTCACGGTTGGATGGGAAGATCGGTAGTCGGAACTGCCACTCGGATCGTATTGCCGTTCTGGAGGATCGACGATGATCTTCGTTTAAAATTACTACGTATGATTCTATGAATCGTCCAAGTTGACCTGTGCGACCATACTTGACACTGACAGGCACTGCGTATTATCTAAATTCTCGCCATCGTCTCAAGGCTGAAGTACAACCTGCCTCTTCATCAATGTGTACTCGAATAGAACTGGTCTGGATTCTAAAGAACGTATCTAGCGCTTATAATCCGTATACCAGAACGCCCTTATGACCTAAGCGATCTCTTCGCTGTTGTTTCTGTTTCTTTGAAGTGCGCCCATTGATGCTTACATTTACTTCATGAATAATACCGTCTCTACCTTTCTTCGTCTATCCGCTGCATTTTAATAATGGCTAGACAGAGCCGTCACGGACGCTTTGACGTCTGGGTTGAGATTGACGGTAGAAGGGCAGAGCAATACGGGGACGGCGTGAATGGGCGAACATCAACTTGCTTTATCATTAGTAGAAATGAAGCTGTGAGTGCAAAAATCCTACTTCTCTAGCTGTGTAGCTCTAACATGTAATACTAACAACCTTCATATTACGATCACTCTTAAGGAACTGGCTGTATATGTACAGGAGTTCAAGAGTACGGCGATAGCATCCGCACGCGCAGACGTATACATGGATGGCAAACATATCGGAAAATCAGTGCTGTCTCCATCTGGCCGTCCGGCTTGGTTTCCGGGCTCATGGCTGGATAACTTTACTTTGAAGCCATTTGTGTTCACAATGGCGGAGAAAGGTATACATTTACATTGCCGAGTATATTAAACTAATAAGCGTATTTTTTAATGATCACCAAGGTTCTTCCGTAGGCCGTACATCAGCAATAAAGGATGCTGGGAGAATCGTAGTCCATATTAGTGCTATCGTTCCCATTTCAAAGTTACACGAGGACATCGATGGGTCTCCCCCACAGCTGCAGGCCTGGACCCCTCTACCCGCTACGGATGACATTTTTGGTCTGGAAACTCATCGTATTGTGTAAGGTTCTTTCAATCGAGACGATGGCTACGCTCAAACTTGCCCTGTTCAGGCTAGCAGATACAGTTAAGCGGGCGAAGTATGAACCTCAGCATGATATTTTCGACGGTGAATTCGAGACTCGGCCCTTCGACGAAAGTGATCCCGAACCCATCGCCACATTCGAATTCATCTATGGACCGGAAGGTGTGTTTGGTGGACCAATCTCAAGAAGCCACTATAACTCATTATTTTGAAGAGTTCGTCATGCATCATTGCGAAGATGAACCTTCCTCCACTCCTGCTTTGCATGCGGGACCTTGTGAGGTATGTTCTCTAGTTATTATCGTATTAGAACCAATACTTCTGTATTATATATGCACTGAGTCCCTGATTCGTCGAAAGTACAGCATGCTGATTTGACTAATTGTCTAGCGCCCAAAGGCAAATCACTCCGCTGCACGGTACCCAGATGTTAGAGCCTCGAACAAATTTTCTAACTTCGCACCAGTTTCCGATATGCCTTCATCATCTAAGCATAGCAAGATAAAGTGCACAAGGTGCGCTGACGCAGGCCAAGCGTGCATACCGAACGGCGGTCCTTCAAACACCTGCCAACGCTGCAGAAGGTTAAGGAAAGGTTGCAATCTACCTATGATGCTCCAGCTCTCAGCAAAGAAGCGCAATCAATTGGACCAGTCGGATGATGGAGAGAGCGAATACGTACCTCAATTACGCCACAAGATCATTAGGACTTACAGACGGAACAGCGAGAATAATGCTAGTCAGCCAAGTGAGCAGAAAGGTACGTTCGAAAGTGCTTTGTTCTGATAAACTTATTCCAATAATCACATTGTTTCAACAGCCACAGTAATCGCACCTTCAGAAGTCACTTCAACGGAATCAACGCAGTCGTTTGAAATCGTGGATAAAGACGTTGACATGTTTGAAAACAACTACACCCGCGGCTTTTCTCCTGAACTGGAACCTGACTACGGACGAGCTCCCAGCCGTGCTCAGCTTGCACGAGTTCAATCGGAATCCCTCTGTGGCGAAGAACTTGTCCAGGAGGCTCCCGGGAGGGATAGAGACCAAACCTTCAATACCCATGAAGGGCAAGGCGCTGAGATCAAGCATAAAGCGCAAGCTGGAGCATTTACTTCTCAGGTTGGTGGTGCAATGGACGTGGATCCAGCAGCAGACACTGCTCCAGGCCTTGCACAGACAGATACATCGAACACCTCCGACACGTTTCACAGAAATCAAATCCTTCAAACAGTTCGTTCTCTCTCAGACAAGCTCATGGAACACGTTGAAGGAAGTGCTATAGATGTAAACGATCCATTCGCAGAAACTACTTTGCAGTTTGTTTCTCAATGTGACAGTTATTTCAGGCAACTTCAGGCTATTAATCTACAGAATAAGATGGCAAGAAAAAATGGACTTTGAGGTGGCTATTTGTTGTAATTATACTATGTAACTATTTAGGGAGCCTGTGTACGTACCCACGTTGAGGTGCAGTCCCTTGAGCAAATCTGACGTTGTCGTTTTAGTTAAAGTTGATTGTAGAGGTTTTTGTGCGATAACTAACTTCAAGTAAATTTAGCCTGCAGCATTGATCAGTACCATCTACGTCATCTACGCAGGGAATAACACAATACAAGAAATAACAACCAACAGATACTCGTATGCGAAAGATCGTACCAGCAGAAAAGCAAACATGGAGATAAAGAACAAGAAAGCCTCTACTTTGTCTTCGGCTTTTTCTTCGAGCGCCCATCCGACGCGTCGTTTACCCGTGCAGCCTTACCCATCCGCTTGTTCAGTGTACGTGCGAGTGCGCGTTTTGTCTCGCCATCAGGGAAATTGCTTAAGTCGAAGTAGACTGGTGCATATTCAAGAAGCCTGAGGAGAAAATGTGTGAGATGGTAAAGACATGTAAAGTCAGGTAAGAACGTACCATTCGGGTCGTATCTCGGTCACTGTGCGAAGATATGGACGCGTCGTTAGAGCAAACTCGTTGAAGATGACCCACTCCGGTTGAGTCTCTAATCCGCATGACGGATGCAACGCGACGACCTGTACAAGCCAATAAGCTCCCGAAGTGATTTAAAGAGCTATTAGTTGAAGACGTACCTGATTATCCTTAACAGTTAAGTAACTCCCCTTCTCTCCCTCCTTGTGTGCGACTTGCATAAAGTACCCGCATACAAGCGCCCTTCGTATATTCTCGTAGAACTTGCGTTCGTCCTGTGTCGTAACAAGCTCAATCTCAAAGCGCTCCATAATACGCTCGAGCTGCGTTCGAACGTTTTCTGCCTGGGCAAGCGCCCTAGCAGAAAGATAATTCGTCCATGCCCAATTCTTGTCGCTCAGGTCTATGACAGAAAGTTAATAGCAATACGAAACCTAGACAATAATACCGACGAACTTTGCTTGTAGGCATTATACACGTTAAGAAGCGTCAGGTGGTCGCCATCTGGATGTGACAAAATAGCCTTCGCAGCATCTGCTTCCTTCCGTGCATTGGGTGGTCTTACAAACACATTGGGAACTGGGCATCCAGTTAGACTTAAGAATCAACGAATCCAAATCAACCAAACTCACCGGAGAGCATGGCCACTATAGTCAACATTTCGTTACTACACTGGAACTCAGGACTGACGATTAGCATCTTGGACATCTGCAAGTGCTCATCAGGACAAATGATACATTAAATCAATGTGTAGAACGGCGTACTTGAGGGTCTAACGGGAACTCCGCCATTATCGATCCAAGGGCGGTAAGGCCACCCTCGTCGTCCAAAGCGGCCAAGTAGTTCAAGAGCTCAAGAGCTCGCATGAGCGTCTCCGGCGCAGGGGCATCAACGTAGTCAAAGTGAACAAGGTCTTTGATCCCCAATTTTACCAATTCTAGAACCGTATTCGCTAGATTGCTTCTGAGAATCTCCGGATGTGTTTGTTCCTCAAGCTCCGACATGAAGTCTTTCTCCGTATATAATCGGAAACATTTGCCAGGTCGAGTTCGTCCCGCACGACCAGCCCGTTGCTGTGCCGAAGCTTTTGAAATAGGAGAAACGAGCAAGGACTCGACACGGATGCGAGGGTTGTACACCTTCTGCTTGGAAAAGCCTGGGTCGACAACGTATACGATACCATCTATAGTGAGAGACGTCTCGGCAATGTTTGTGGACACGACGACCTTGCGCCCAGGTACACCGCCCTCAGCTCGTGGTGGGGGAGCGGGGTCGAAGATGCGTTGCTGTTGTTGCGGCGGAAGAGACGAGTATAGTGGGATACACGTTAACGGACCAACCGACTCGGGATCCTGATTTGTTAAGTCGTCTGCCTCCAGCTTGATTTTCCGGCAAGCATCTTCTATTTCTTCCTCGCCTGTGAGGAAGAGCAATATGTCTCCTGGATCCTCGGAACGATGGATCATTAATACGGTTCGGATAGCCGCTTCGACGTAGTCGGGTTCTGGCTCCTGCGTATAAAACACCTCGACAGGATGTGTACGACCAGGAACTTTGAACAACGGTGCTGGGCCAGACGTTTCAGATGTGACGTTGCCGAAATATTTCTGGAATTTAACGGCGTCGAGGGTGGCAGACATGACAATAAGTTTTAGATCTTTTCGTCGTTTTGTTAGATCCTTGAGAAGACCCATGAGGATATCCGTGGCCAATGTACGCTCGTGTGCCTCATCAAGAATTACAGTCGAGTAGCGCTGAAGGTCCGGGTCGTTCATCGCTTCACGCAGAAGCATACCATCGGTCATGTATTTTAGGAAAGTCGTCCCTGGTTCTGTCATGTCTTCGAAACGAATAGAGTAACCCACGTGCTTTCCAAGTTGCACTGAGAGAAGTTAATTTAAGATCAATTTTGCAGTAGAAATTACATACCATCCATTTCATCCGCAACACGCTTGGCGACTGACATTGCAGCAACTCGTCGAGGCTGTGTGCAAGCAATCAATTTGCCCTTTGTATGTGGCAGATCTGAGTAAGCCACGAACTGTGGAATTCTGCGAAATTATCTAAGTATTTTCTGATTGGATCCCATTTCTGAACATATGAAGGACGTACTGCGTTGTCCTATTTTAAATACGATGAGTATGGAACTTGCAACTATGGCACGAAGACTCACTTTCCGCTCCCAGTTTCACCAACCATGACAATCACCTGGTTATCGGTAAACTATCGCAGCTATGCCATCAGTCAAATGGGACCAATGGGGAAAGAAAATACAGAATACCCAAAGGCAGGAAGACGCACCATTTTGTAAAAGTCGTCCATTTGAGTATATACGGGTAACTTCTTTCGCGCTTCTAAAATCTTTTTGTAGGAAGCCGAATGCGGCTGCTTCGTGAATGGGTTCACATCGCCCTCCTAAGGTTATGGAGTAAGTAAGATACAGGTGTCAGGTATGTGCCACAAAGACTCACCAGCACCCGTCGAACCTGTTCACCCTTCACCTTTCGAGGTAGGAATCCATACAGCGGTTCTTTCGTAGTCGGAGGAGTTGAAGATCCAGTACGTCTCTGATGTGGAGGAAGGTGAGCAAGATATGGGTTCTCTTTGACGCCATTGGTGAGCGACGACATTGTTGTTGCTTGGAGGACGTGTAAGAGCAATCAATCCCTGTTCATCACACACAAAATACTGTTCATAGAGCGCCACGTGATATAAGCACATATGGTGTCTCTTTCTCACAAATTTTAATGTTTTGAATTTGAACGACCGTTTAATGACTTTTCATCTTTCTTTTCTCCACCTTTCCGTCATTGACCGACTCCGCATATATTTTATCTTAGGTTCACGAACTTTGCTTCCGACGTTGAGGCAAGCGTTTGAAAGTTTCACTTGCGGTAACACGCCGAGTCATCGCGGGTACTTTGGCAGATCTTCTAGCGTTGCCTGGGACTGTAATTGTCTTCGCAAAGTTTAAATTCAATACTCCTCACCAACAAGTCACTACGTTTATTGTCCAGTCCTACAATGACCTGCTCCAAGGAAAATGGAACATGAACTTGTTTGTCGCTATGAGGCCTCCTCGTGTCCCCGCCTTCAAATCTGGCCCTGCTTTAAACCCTGGCGCTGATATCTTAGCTCGTCTTATCTCTCAAGTCTCGCAGTGCTAGCACTATAACTCGTTTCTCATGCCTCACCATGAACACTACCCATTCTCCGTCTGGCTACAACATGACGACGAGAAAATCGAAGATTTTGAAGTACAGTATTCAGAGGACGGGCATGTCGTTACTTGTTGGGTCGCGGAGGAAGCACTTCAGGTGTGCGACTGTCCGTTATACCTTCGCTTGCACGCTAAGTGTTATTAGATTGCAAACTATCTGGGATGGAGAAGCAATGGTCTGGGTCAGCCGAATAAAATTCGCGTTCTGACAGAACGCGCCCGTGTTGTGTCGCGAAGTCCGTGCGGTGAGGAATCGGCAAGTAGCACCAATGCTCCGACTAGTTGCCAGGCGCATTGTAATGGTTGAGAAATTTCTCCTCATTTATGATGCTACATTGATAACCTGCTTCACTCTCCAGAATGCGAAGCGATGCTAGCATCGACGAACGGCCGTATATTGACCATAAAAGTTGAGGTGTTGATGCCATCCGATATCAAATCACCTCGGGATGTATCCGGCTCCCTTCCGATAAAAAATGCCAAATATGAAACTTGTCAAGGAGGGAAGGTCGAGTGTGTTTTTCAACTTTGCCAATCATGCCCCGCAGGTTTATCGTGACTATTTCTCGCTTTGTAAAGGAAACCACACATAAGTCCGAAAAGGAGGAACTCGGCTCATCCGTACTCCTCCCTTCGCTCGTCCAGGACCACTTTCGAGTCGACCAGCTCTGACAGGTCTGAATCGCCGACACCCATATCTAGTGATGCTTTGCCGTCACATCTCATCTTCTATTTTTGTGCTCGTAATTCAGGTTCGTTCAACTGTACTTATGCCTCAACCCAGATGAGTGCAAACTTGAACTAATGCTAGAAATTTTTCAGACCGGAAACTTGATAGGACACCTGTCTCAAACACGACTCTTGGCAACAAGCAGCGAAACCTCCCAGGTGTATCCACTGCAATATCCCCAGTCTCGAGGTTAAGGCGCAGTAGGTCTCCAAGGAGCAAATCCGGATCTGTCGCCAGTGAAGGCTCCACCAAAGTTGGCTTAGACACGCCGATACATGCCGCTCCCGCCTTTCCCAGCCCTGTACGAACGCGTGTCAAGGGCGAAGTCGAGCAGGCATCGACATCAAATCACTCTCGACCCGAGAGTGCGAGGTTGGAGCTTGAAAATATGCCAGCTTTGGTGGACGCAGCAGTACAGACGGATCCAATGCCAGGCTCAAGGTCGCCCAGTCGAGATGACGAGAGTATATTCGAGCGACAGGGAATTTCCAAGCACAAATGCCAGAATTTGGAGGACGACCGCGACTTGCTATTGCTGAGAATAGAGGTGCGCATTAGTCTGGCTCCACAGGGGCAGTTTATTAAAACTTCTTCGTTACCAGCAAAGCCTACTTGAGACGCATAGATTGCTCTTAGAACTTCGGAAATCAATACACAAGAGAGCATGCTGAATCTCTCTTTCTCGTTTGAAATCAAGATCTGGTCTCGTATGGATATATGCTATGTGTCTATTGGTGGAAATACCTTTTGAGCTTCTAGTGTACTAATTTTCCCACCTTCTAATGCTTATGTTATTCCCATCCTTCGATCTACATGTAAGTTGTTTCGCGTATTCTTAATCGAATTTATTTCTTCGTCGGAGATTTCCGTCGAAGTGGGCGTAAATGCGTTTCAAACACCGACTTGTCGCTTCTTGTCCGCTATACAGCATTCTCTTTCTCTCCAAGTTATTCATACTGCCAATAAGCGTGTTTCTCCATTGGTTTACCCCCCACAAGGCTACAATCCCTATGCCGAACCTCAATGACTTTGAAGTTTGGATTGAATGTGGAGGCAAACGTTTGACGGAATACGCAATAAAGAAAGATGATATTACCGCTACCTGTTGGATTGCGAGCGAAGTTGACAAGGTACGAATAGCATGTCCCTCAAATTATGAATACTAAATAATGTTATGCACGGAACGACCGATACAGGAGTTTGTAATCCAATACCAGAACCATCGGGCTCAACAAGATATCCAGTGCGAACTGGTCGTAATGGCCGACGGCGAGGAGATTTATAACCACATCACCAATTATGACCCAAAGCTTACCATACAAGGGATGGTGATTGATAAGAAAACAGTGAGGACATTGATGTTCTCTCGTGTTAATTTCACCAGTTAGTATTATTGAACTTATCCTACAAAATGACTTTATTTCCGGCTTCTGATGAACTGCTTAGACAATGAACATGACATGTTAGCTGAACATCCGCAGTCAACGCGAGAGTTAGGCGTGATCACTGTCAGAATAAGTGAAGTCTATGTTGTTAGAGATGCACTTCGAGGACACAGTAGGCCAGTACCGAAGCTCTCTGATGCTCTTTTGGACGAGAAGGATTACAAGGGAATAAGCCACAAAGTAACGTAGGCAATGCTCAATCGTATGAACTACAACTACTACTTTTCCTAACTCATACTTGCCTCTGCTTCATTTCAACAGAACGGGTCGAGACATCAAGGTCAAAGAGGAGTTGCCGTGGGGAAAGGTATCTTATGAACCGTACGATGACGAAAACCCAGGCCCCATTGCTCTCTTCAAGTTTAAATACAGGCCCAAAGGTACACATCCTCTTTCAAAATTTATTCATTTGCAGTGTATTCTTGTAGTCAAATTTTGACAACATACCCTCTCGCTTTCGTAGAGTTCCTAATCGCAAAAGGCTTAATCAAATCTAACTTCCGGCTCTTGCGAGAAACAAACAGTACATCAACTCTAAATACTACCCTGTCATCTCAGAGTATGAAGAAAAGGCCCAACAGACGTGACGCTACCGAACAACATAACTACTCGTCTGGTGACTTCGAGCAAAATGCTAGCGCAAGCACGAGCAGGAAGCGACCAAGTACTCATATTGATCAGGATGAACAAGGTGCTGAAATGGACGGCACTATACGAAACGTAGAAGATGGCTCAGACTTGAGCGACTTATTTGAACGCCTGGGGGTATGTGCAGATATATCATGTTTTCAATATAGATTGAACGTCTAATCAGTTGCAAATTTACACACGCAGTACCTGCAACAACAACAAACTGAAATCCAAAGGAAACAAGAAAGGCTCATGAACAACAGAGAATCTACGAAGGATCCTGAAGCCTGTCTTAAATCACTTTCGGTATGTCTAGTTTACCATAAAATATTTGGTATCACATAGTAATTATTATATTTATGAATGAAACCTAAGTTTTGGCATGCTCGGATGCGCGATACACAGGAACAACTGGCCGAAACAGTCAGGGCACTGAAGAGAGTTGGTCCTGGTAGATCACCTCGGAAGAAAACGAGAATAGTGGAGACCCTTGCAACCATTGACCTTACTAATGATTAAGAACTGTCTACGTACTAAGCTTTCCGTTCGCCACCCTCCCATGTACTGATACTGTCGCTATTCTAATCTACGCACTGCAGTACTATATTCATCAAAACTTCGTACAAAGAAAAGTAGCATATTCGTACAAGTCCAATCGTACTCTAATAAGTTAGAATGCCGAGACTACACAATGCACACAATAAAAAGAGTATTTTCGTGACCATATTCCATCCATCCATTCGTTCATCCATCCATCTATTCATGATCCATATAAAGAAAGCGCTCGCAAGCTATAATGTCCTTCAATCAAACACCCATTCACACGTCCCAGCGCCAACACCCTGCAGCGCAGACCAGTAGCATCCTGTACAATGAGCAAACAATCGCCCAACGATCGGTGTCTCTTCCATCTTACGCATCATCTTACGCATGGGCGTCTGGTGGTCCTTCAGCGAGTCCAAGTGGAAGGCAGACTCGATGACAACGTGTGTCCCTGGTGTGATGTGCGTTCCGCTCACTAAACATCGTTCAGGTGCTTCACGGAGCTTGATCTCACATCCCAAGTGCGAGACTGCATACTTTATATTAGATGAGGTGATGAGTTGGATTCATAAAAGGACGCACATGAGAAGAGATTCCATGGTGAGAGTTGTATGTCAGGATTATCACCACCGTCAGGCAAACCTGTTGCAACAAAATCGCTCGCCTAAAAACCAGTCAAATCACGTTCCTACCGAACAAATACCTTTACTTACGTTTGTCACACGCCACATAGTCCTGATCGTATCGGAATAATGATTCATCCTCCCATTGAACGCTGGATGAATACAAGGGTTAGCAGGATAACATGGACTAAGATTGGTGGCATACCATTGGCAGACTCAACGTCACAAACGACGGGGGCTGCAAAGAGATAAGCATCCCTAACTACGACATTGATTCCACACTCGTGAGGCTCGCAGACAAGGCGAGAGTAGACCAGCGATGCAAGGGCACACCCGAGAGAATGTCCTGTAATCCACTAGAGACAAAATAAATTCCCAGTCTCAACAGGCACAAAACGGCATAAGCTTACAACATTGATCTTCTTGTCAGGAGAATGTTCGGAGAGGCGAGCGGCAACTCTCTTGATGTCTTCAATAATTGTCACTATAAAATTGTAGAAGTAAAATAAGGGTTGGCTAGGTCGCTGAACACAGAGAACGCACAGCAAGGCATGTTCGAACCAGCAGGAATCCTTCTTGGATAGACCTTGTTCATGAAACCGTCATGCGCTACAAAAACTAATGAGCACAAGCATCCCAAGCGTGAGAATGCCTACGAACCTTTTCCGAAGCCACGAAGCCAGACACCAGCATCGCGCAGCTGGAACGTGAAATCTGTTGACCACTCGGCAAAGTCTGTTGGCGAGGTGCCTCTGAATGCGACAATAATAAATGTGTCATGTGGGTCCCAGAACAATCCACAGAATGCGCTCCCAGTACTATTGAGCTCAGATACTGTGCAGTATTGAAGTCCTAGATTCTCGCGAGCTATATCCTTGATCGTGCTCTCTTCAGTACTGTGTTTGTGCAACTCATCCATAACCGCCCGTGCTCCAGTTGTGCCACACATCTCCGTTATATGCGCACCTGGATGCGACTCGGAAAGACTCCAATCAGTAAGCTGCCGACGGGGGCCTCCCGTGTTTCGTGAAACAACTGCTGCCGCCCGATGAGTCGTACGCGTAGTGCGTTCGTACATAAGGGCAGCACATTGCAACCTTCGCTCGTAATCCCAGTTACTCTCAACCCTTTAAAACAGAGTGACCCCACTTACAGGAGTTTGGAAGCATCGAGATTGAAGAATCGCTTATTCGGCCGATTATTAGACTGCTCAATAGATCGAGACAGATGCACTTTCGCCGCTGCAATCTGTTCGCGAGATAGCTCTTCAAAAATAGATGGGTATACTAGAATCAAATTTTTGATGTGTTCAGTCAAAAGAAGTAGATAAAATAGATTACTGAAACGCACGAGCATTGACTAAGCTCAATCCGTTGAAAAGTCGACGAGAAACGCTGTCGAAAATCTCTTTCGTTATAGGTAGATTCGAGATTAGACACCAAGGCAGCATAATAGACATTATGGCGCTCGCAGCAAAGGATAGAATAACTATAGCAATGCGATCCATCAGAGCTAATTGGAAGGTAACATCGAGGTCAGTTGAAGCGAACTGCTGTTTGAATAGGACTTCTTACTCGTCGGGAAGAAGATAAACGCCCAAGCTGCCTTCACCCAAGTTTTAAAGATAAATAATACGTAGTGTCTAACAATTGCATACGAGCGAAAGACCCAAGACCTTTCGCATTTCCGTTCAAATTCAGTCAGCCGCTGGCTAAGATATGCGAACTCGTCGGCATGCAAAGCATGAAGATCCGCGAGCAAGTCCATGCTGTCTGGAGACGAGTCGCGGCGCCTTGGTGAATGAGCCATGCGGAGACCAGTAAAGGTGGGCGGTGAAGGAGGGCAGCGAACCATCTTGCGGCACCGCGTGGACTACTTATATCTGCAGCAGAGTCGGCTGTGCGGATGGCACTAGATCCAGATGCGGAAGATGATACAGGACAAGATGGAAGAACGCGCTTGATGCAAACCGGTGCTTCAAAAACAAAGAATAAGTATGAGGCTGACAGGGCTAGCGACACGTTTCTTCAACCAATAAAAGTACTAGTCAGCCGGCCGACAGCTTGAAATTTGGGTTAAGTTCGTTCTCTTGATGACATGCGGGACCCAACGATGACCTTCAGGCCAAGATACCGAGCATAAAGTCAGGAATCAAAGAGTGGACTTGCATCCATCCATCAGATGTCCCCTTTTTGAAGCCGTGTTCATCGTAAGTTTCAACGTGCTTAGCGTAGTGGCACAGGCTTAACCTAATTAGGTTACCTGTGACACAGGGCCAATCACGGATACTTCCATGTCAAGACTGAAGTAATCTTCCGCCTCCAGACTTTGTCTATGACCAGACATGTTGTCTGATGATTTCTTTCTCCTGTCTTATGGGCGCCAATCTCGGTACTCTGAAAAACACCTCTCGAGGGTATTCCTTGTGAAATATAGTGAATATCTATTTATCGCTGTTTGAATCGAATTCGGCACAACTTGCCCTTCCCTTCGAATCCTGAAATTAATTGAAACGGCGAAAACCTTGCATCGACTGCTGTAGCACGATTGAAAATGTTAATTGCATGCATTATGCAGTTTGCGATATCATACGTTATGGTGACTATAGTGCACGTGCCGAACATCTTTTGTTGTCGGCAGTCGATCAAGAAAAATTCCAAAGGAAAGTCTTCAGCCAATCTGGTATCTCTCGGACCTTGACTATGAGTCATAGAATAATTTGTTTCTTGTTTTCTTACATCGATGATGAGTCTTGCTTATCTCGAAGGAAGCAGTGGTTTGACCTCTCGCTCCATTCAGCTGATTGATGACGAGACATCTCTCGAAGACAATGAGCAAGTCACGACAGCTCAAGACGCAGAAACAAATGTTCAGGAGAGCAATGATCCTACCATTGAAGATCAAGAGTCTACCGTCAATCTGGTCATGGAGGACGATTTCAGGTTAAAATTCGATGCTTCGTTGGTTATTATGATTTTACAGAATATCTTGCTGCAGGTGCGTTATTTTCATTGATCAATATCCTGACATATATAACTTGAACTAATTGCCTATGAATTTTTACACAAAATAGATCTCGTTCTTTTCCATCGTCTCCTCTTCGTCTGCCTACGCGGAGTATTTAGGCGGCACCGCTACGTTCTCAGGTCTTGTAATTGGTATACCGACTGCAGTCTCCGGATTGGCACTAATCCCATTGACGAAATATGATCGAGGCAATTACTTTTGACGCATTAACGGAGGACACTACTAAAATCTATTAAAGGTCAATACAAACTGGCCCTTCACGTAGCTTGCGGTTCCATGGTCCTCGGCTCGGCACTATACGGCCTTGCCTATAAGGCGAAGTTCCTCTACCTCATTCTTCTGGGACGTATGGTCCAAGGCGGAGGATTCATCGGATTCATGTACGCAAAACGATACTGCACTGATTCTAGGGTTGCCGGAGCCCGCCGCCGTACAACACTCGCAGGCTGGCTCGTACTTGGTCAAGGTGTTGGTATGAGTGCCGGACCATTCTTCGGCGGACTGCTATATAAAGTCGGATTTAGAAACGCAGTCTTCAATGGGTACACGAGTCCAGGATGGATTATGTCGGCTGCTTGGCTCGTGTTTTGGATCGTTTCGACTATCGTGTTCGAGGATGTTCAACCCACGAATTCATCACAGTCCATGCAAATGACTAGTCTTCCTTCTCCTTCAGTATCTCGAAGCATTCGGTTCCATGTAACAAAGAGTCAATGGGGTGTTATTGTGACGATGTGCTGGTTTGCGATGACCTGTTTCTTCATCCTTGGAGCTTGGGAGTCCAACATTCCTGTCTTCGCCTCATCTTCCGTGTTACCCTCCAATTCGACCTAGCACGAGTTGCGCCATCTTACTCACTAAAGCTCTTTTCTCGTTCTTTCCCTCTGAGTCCCTTCCACTGGTCACCTTTCGCATCCGGCAACTTCATCGCCCTCGGCGGAGCAGCCATCTTCCCTTTCCTCTTCATCAATCTTCTCCTTGCTCGACGTACGCAAGATCGACACATCCTTGCACTTGGCGCAGGGCTCGGACTTGCCGGTCTTCTCACGGCAGTTACACTTTTACGACTGCAGCCTTCTGCTGGTACGCTCTCATTTGGCACATTCTTCGTATGTTGGTTCCTTGTCGCGCTCGGGTTCAACCTCGCAAGTACGTGTACGTTAAGCTTGCTCAGCAAGCAATTGCCTCCTTCGTGGAATGGGAAGACAAGTCTTGGTAAGTCTCGTCATCATCACTCCAAATTATAATCACTCTATCACATACTCACTGTTACTCGATTTATACAGCAATCCAATATTCCAACTACGTCGGCCGAGTGACTGGTGCTGTATGGGGAGGAAGCGGCGTAAGAGTCGGAATGTTGAATTATTTGGGCTTGGAAATTGCGATTATTGGCGTTGGAGCGTTCATGTTCTTGACGCTTTGGCGAGAGCTGAAAGCTAAGACGGGTTGAGTTGAATATCACTTGTAGACTTATTTATAAGTAAAATTTAAAAGATGATTGATATTGATAGTATCATAAAGAATTTGTGGTCGGATATGGTGTAACGGCTAACATTGCCGCCTCTCAAGAACACTCTATTTAGTGAAGACGAGCGCGGCAGCTCGGGGTTCGATTCCCCGTATCCGAAATGTACGGCTAGACTATCTTTTTTCTGCTTCTTCTTTAAAACAATATATCCAGATGTTTCACGAGTTTCATCAGAGGCAATAATAACCTTGACAATTAGGTCCTTAGATAACGGAAAACTTTTTGTGCCTTTATATAGTAGGGTGTCAAGGAAAGTTGTCACATTTTATTATATTACTCTATAGTTGTCTAGAACAAGATACATAGTAGTAAGTTTAGTCCAGCACTTACAAATCATTGTACTTAATAAAATAATCCACGGATACTGATACAAAGGTCAATAATACACAGATGTTGAACCAAAGTAAGGAATGAGGCAGTGTGGATGTGATGCAGCAAGACAACATCAAGAAAATAAAAACCGGAAAAGAATTGTTTCTACCCTATAAGTTTAACTATCAACGCCTGTGATTTTTCACTCATACTTTGATCCATTATGCACGGCACACAAGGAAATGTGTACTACCCTCAAGAAGACTTGTTTAAGAGTGTTTACCTAGAGAACATGCCTATACGCTAATCATCGCACGGGTACAATAGCGCTGTTTGGCTCAGGGTGAGGTTTCGGTTGCTCAGAACGTATAGGTGACTGCTCCGTGGGCTCTTCGTCTGGAAGGTGGATGGGTCCAACGGGTTGACTTTCGCCACATGGGCAACATTTAGACCGACAAGAGTAAGGCCAGGTGCATTGTGTGCAGTCGCGACCTGTGAAGCGCCGTATTCCAATTAGGAGTGATACATAAATACATTGCCATTGCGAACGTACGAATTGATGCAAAGTCGAAACAGATGCCGGCTATGACTTCTATGCACGAAAGAGCAAGAATAGAGCAGGAATCGCTCGCAGCATTCGACATGGTAGTAATTAATGATGCTAATCGTCGACTTGCGTGACGTTGTAGTGCCCTGATGGTCTGGACTGTTGCATCACCGCCCGAGGAGCGTGATTGCGTGAGTCAGTGACCAGTGATATCCAAGTCAGAGACGAAGAGGGGGTGTCGCAGTTTCAATTTCTTTCCATTGTCTTACATAATCATTCTTGCCCAATCTGGAACCTGTAAGACTGTGGCGAAGTCACTCAGTTCATTCACATTGCATTCGACTGCGTCGACAGCCTCAGCTTGTCTCCCTTGCACCATGAGCATCCGGGACAGACTGCGCCCATCGTCGACGGTAATCTCGCCCTCAACCTCTCAGCAAGACGATGCTGAAAACGACCACGATGGTCGAGTCGTAACAGGTGCTTTTGTCTGTTATCGAATAGGGGATCGTAGATGCTGATGCCCTAGTCTCTCTTCCGCAGGCGTCGTGCTCTCTTGCGACGACACTTCCAATGAAGGTGATGTCCACAGAGAATACAAACTCATTCGCGGTGTGCATCGGACGGTGGATTTTGTGCGTGCGACCCTGGTCCATCCATCAGGACACCTGTCCGTTGGCACAGGCGGGTCATCACGAGCGACCTTCAGCAGCCCAGTCATGAGCCGAAGGCATGCACGGATAACGTTAGCAGAAGATGGTTCGGTAAGTCGACTCTCTACCTGCCTTGCGCATCATGTGGCGCATTTGTCTTGCAGCCTTGTTGATGCAATCCGTGCTTTGCTGCGATAATCTCGCATATCGCGCCACACTTCTGACTCACATTCTCCATTACTCATGCTGATTCTATGCTTTTCTAATGACTAGGTCACCGTCATGGATGTTGGTTCGATGCATGGGACTTATTTGGAGGGTGTCAATTTCTGTGATTTCTTTCCAGAAAGGCTCAAACCGCGTCGACACTACTCATTACGATCCGGGGACATCCTGCTTCTGGGCAAATCCGTAACCCGAGATGACAGAGTACGTACTCCTTCACAGTCATCATTCGTTCGCATCTTTGTCACATTAAGCGCTGTTATACTGATTCAGCCCTTTTCAGGACTGGAAACCTGTCACTATCCGTGTTTCCTTCACGCATGATCCCGGTGCCCGCTTCGCAACTCCACCTCCTAATCGATATGGACTGTACGTTAACTCCGCTGGGGAGTCAGAACAAGATGCGGACGAGGACGCCGTCTCTATTTCATCATCGTCAGGCGGGGAAGACGACGACAGCCGAGGTCTGGGTGAGAGTTCCCCGGATACCTCGCCGGTAGTATCCCACGTTCCACTACCGTTGGATGGAGCACAACCCTCGGCGTCTACTTCATCGGAAAACCTCGTCAGTATAAGTAGGAATGCGGATAGTCCGAGTCCGAGTCCCGGTCCGGCCATCTTTGACCTGAACCGCACACTGAGCGCTAGGATTGCACTTCGTTCAATGCTACCACCCCTCCCGTCAATCCAACTCTCTTCAATACGCCGCTTACCTTCCCTTCGTGAACTTGGCTTCTTTAGAGGTCCTTCTAACAATGTGAATGGTGTCGAGCAAGAAGCGGATGGCATTCAGGCACTTAACCCGGATCAGACTGTCGAACAAGTAGACATCGCTACCAACATCACGGTACCGTCTGAACCTGCGAATTTTGCGGCGGACATTATGACTAGCATTGGTTCGGTGCGATCACCAGTAGCGGATGAAGACGCAGCTTCGGGTTCTATCTTCGTGTGGCAGGAGCCATCACATCCGCAAAACCAGCTAGGTCTTGAGCTGAGTGCTCATAGTAGCTTTGTTGAACCCGAGGCCGAGAAAAGGAAGAGCGAAGACAGAAGCTGCAGCTGTGAATCGGATAGCAGCTGCCATTGTTCGGATGACGCGGGCGAAAGTTCGAGCAAAGAGCAAGAGAAGTATCCCGAGGTACAGCATGACGACGAGAAGTCGATGGAAATTTCTCCTTGTAGTAGCCGTGGCGGGAGCCCGAGTTTCCGTGCGAGTGCGGTGTTTGAAATGGAAAGCAGTGTGGAATGTGACAGTGAGAATGACTGTAATGGAGGGTTTGAAGGACGGGACAACTGTCAATGCCCGTCGGAGGAGCGGCCTGGAGAACTCGGTCTGGGCCGAGAGCAGCCACAAGAAGCGCGCACAAACGAAAGGCCTATCCCGATTCCGTTCATACCTGGTTTGCAGATTCCTGCTCCTACTGCTGATCGGACGCCTACACATTCCGCAAGACAAGAGACACAGCATGAACCTCCTCGAGCAGCACGGTCGGAGTCGGCGATTACAGCGGAAGAATATGAACAGCGTCGGCGTGCCAGAGCAGCTCGGTTCGGATTGCCACTTAGTCCAGGTCCCTTCCCTCCCAGTCCGGTCAGTGTCTCTAGACGTGGAGGGCCAAGAGGATCTCGGCATGGAGTCAGTCGTGGGTCCAGGCGGACGAGATTTGGGTCGCTAGCTGCGCAGGCGGGGCCGTCACTTTCCCAAGGGGTACGAATGCTTTTTTTAGACTTGTGCTAATTCTAGGTACTGACGTACTTTATCATTTCGTGTAGCCGAGCGTTCCAAGAAGCCCTCCGGATGTAGATGTGCTGCGTACAAAGGTTCATTTACTCGAGAACCGAATGCAAGAGATCGCTACCAGCACCGTTTTGGCGAACAATGCTGCGGCTTCGGCTTCCGCGTCCACTTCTGCCTCTGTTACGTCTATTGATGAGGCTCGGAAAGAGATGGAGTCTATGCGTGAAGGTCAGTCTTGATGATCCTGTTCAGTCACTTGTAGGCATTTGCTAACGATTCACTTTGCAGAAATGCGTCGTTTATCAGGACTATTAGAGAGTCTTGTCGCAAAGATTGACGCTCGTGCGAAAGATGTGGCACACGCCGAGCAGGGAGTCCAAGCAGAAGGATCAGAGGCCAAGAAGGAGACGGCATCGGAGGCGTCATTGCCAACGAGCAGGAAACGAAAACGCGTGGATGACCTTTGCACCCTAGGAACTAGCGACCTTGAAACTGAAAGGCTTATCATGAGTCTTAGCTCGCAAATGCGTCGGCCATTGGTCGAGAGGATTCGTGAATTCCATGAGCCAATTGAGCAACCTGAGGTCCGTCCTGCGAAGCGTGCTCGGATGGATAGGCAGCGGAGCACGATGACGTTCGCCGCGGCGGCTGGGTATACGGGTCTCGGTGCGGCATTGGCATGGGCTGCACTTGCCTATGTTCTATGAGGTGCCAGGTACATCGACTTATTCGTACTCGTCTCGTTCCAATCGGGTCCGGCTCTTTCGTTTCTGGGTATCCGCTGTTCCGCTCGTGCTTCTCCTGTATCTTTGCACTGTCTCGGCTCCGCATTCACAACAACTATTTACATTTTTTTTTCGTTCTGTTTCTGTCCTCTGATCCAAGCCAATCCAATCTCTGTTTCCAAGTCTGCCCATCGTCGTTGTCGCTTGCGTTGTATCTTGCTATCATTTTCCTTGAATTAGTCGTTCCAATCTCCATCTCCATCGTCCGTCTCAATGTCCAATATTCATTCGTCTTTGTCCTTTCACTTTCACCAGTTCAAGCTTCCTTGACGAAAACGTCATCTACGCAGCACAAATAATCACTTCCCCTTCCCTGTGCCACTTTACAATGCTATTTCCTTTTCACCGTTGCTTCCGTCAGTAAAGAAAACTGCTGCAATACTGTTCCATCTTCCATCTTCTACCTTCTACAATAGTCTAGCTTACAGTTTCTTTTTTTCCTTACCATTTTCTTTGGACAGTGCAGTGTTGTCGATTGACGAGAGAGATAAATCTGATGTATAGTACAAAAACGACGAGATTGTAAATTATGTACGGATTGATTTTGCTTGTCCAATTTCCGAGTCGTCGTGATGGTTTGGTAAGGCTGAATTGTGCAAGTCAAGTTTGTTTATAGGCATGCGATTGTATGGGATGGGATTGTATGGTATGATATAGTATAATCCAGGAAGGCCATAGATAAAGTAAGCGACTTCATGCGTTGTTAATGCAAGAAGGATGACAAGAAGTGCAGAAGACGGGGATTAGTGAATACCGAGGAAGGCAAAATACAGCAAGGCATCGTGCAATAGAAAAATCGTTGAACGTAAGAATACCGACAATCCATGTGCCTCCAAATGACGCCTAAATCAAGAGACGAGCTCAGACTGCTAAGCACTCAATGTGCTTTCCTCATTCGAACAAGCCACTTGAGCACATATGAACAATCAGCCATGCTAACCACAGTGGAAATAATATTGGGGAAAAAAATACCTGTGGCAAATTCAATATCGCTGTTCGTAGTTTCCTCGTTCCGTTCTCTCTCTCCTGCCTCCTTTAAATTAATTGATAAATGACTTCCGAGGACACAGAGAAGAGCTGGATTTCCAGTTGCGGTGAGGAGGTGTGCGACGAAAGGATTGATATTCGAGATTCGGAGCTCCACTATGTTCATTATGCAACAAAATACGACGCTACAATACCATAAGTCGAATATATAATCGTGCACGAATGCTTCACTTACAAGGTGTAATACAGAATTTGGTCTTCGATGAGGACTTTGACAAGATAAAAGCCTCCAAATTCGGGCGACATTCGCCAGTACTCTGCTGCCTTGAAGAGAGCCAAGGAAAGTAAAATCATCCCATATATCAGAGGCATAGTCCTGCACTATGTTAGAAAAGACGAGGAACTGCGAGTATACATACTAACCACGAAACAATTCCTAGCAATTGTGGAGTATTCGAGCTAAACCCACAGACTTTGATACTCTGTACAACACGCTCGAAAGCAACTGAAGTATATTACACATAAGTATGCTTCTCAATCAAGGCGGAAGTTGATTAATAGTTTACCTCCTTCAAGTAGCATGTAATAAATAAGAATGCCGAGACCAGCACATATTTCAATGCCAAGAAGTATCTTTAAGCAAATTGAAAGTTTCCTATCTATCAAAATTATGCCGAGAAATCATTTTACAGACTAGTGTACTTACTTTTCCCGTAAAGTGCTACTACACGAATTTGGAGGATGTCTAAAAAGGAATCATGCATGTAAGCTATAATAATGTAGATGTTGCTTACAATCCACGAGGGCGATTGTGATTGAGTCTGGCGTATGAGTTACAGCAGAGCCGTAATAACGAATTATGAAGGTACTTACTGCATAATTCACTAATCCATGTAGATGCATGACCTAAGTAACGTTAAGTCAACAAACACCAAGCATAAATTAGTCATAAACTACAACGCACAGCTACGAGAGGTGTGCGGTTGGATTTGAGATCAGTATAGCCTTTGACTAAAAATGTTCCCTCCATACCTCAATAGATTTTGTCTTAAGCCACCATCTAAGATGCAATGCCAATGGAAATTAGTTTCACGGATTGATGAGTCCATGTAAGATATTGCTAACAAATCATGACGCAAATGATTCCGAGGATTCCGACAAAGCGGTTCTAAGCCGTCAGCATTATGACAAGCCTGTCCATCAAAATACATTGATCGCTCTCACTGTAAAATAAATTAGGCTAATAGGGCTGCACAGCTTGGCCTTCGTCGGTATCAATGAATCGTTGACCCATGCAGATGAGTACAGAGCTCACCCAGATATATTTTATCTGCAGAGACGCGACTCAGTGAACGCTGACGAAATAACCACAGGTTCATCATACCTCTTTATCAATCGTTACCACTTAAGTTACGTTCTTTGTCAGCGATATTACAGCTCGGTGAGGCGAAGTACGAACAAGCATTGTAGATTACGACAGTCAACATCGCTGCGTTGACGTATTGTACAGTGAAGGACTCGGAGCCAGGTAATGGTACCAAGTTTGGATCATCAGACTTAGCATCCGTGGCGCGGATTGAGCTAGTGAAGAACGAGTAGGCATGTCCATAGTCAAGAGAGTGGTTTGTCATAAGGAAGGGAGCACAAAATAAGATACATCATGGAATAACAGTCCCCTTTATACATAGCATGGGGAAGTTTACCGGTGATGCGAATTGCGCTTATGCCTCGTCTGAGATGCAGCATGAGAGCAATGAGCCAATGATTGCGCATGGTAGTTTAACTCTAAGTCTGGCGGAATAAATTACGTAAGTGATACGAGCGCTAAATTAGCTAATCCGACTGACTGTATCATTATGCGCCATGGGAACGGAGAATTGCACATGATGAATATGCTTGCTGCACATGGAGGAGCGACAAACGTCGATATGGAGAGTGACACACTACACCTTTCTAGCGAATAGCAAGCATTCTTATTCCATAGGCTATCAATTCGAGGTCGGCGGCTATCACACGCGGATAGACTCGCTCATTGTCTCCAGTAAAAAGTTAACTGTTAACTCGTTGAAATATTTAGCCTGCCAGAATAACTCACTGCTATATCATTTAGAAGGACAACATCTTCCTTTGATTGACCTATAACAATACCTGCGCCTCCGTCAAATTCAAATTTCATTTATGTGCTATTGCATCTTAGATCTCGTGGCATATTCTAGTGGTAGTTCTGCTCTAGATTTATCATCATCATCAGCTCTTCACATAGAATTTTCATTTCGTGTCTTTTAAGTTGGAGTTCTAGAGAACTCCAACTTTATATAAGCAATCCAAATTATAAGGTACACAATACAGACTTATGGATAATAAACAACAAGGCGTCATACAAGAATATTGAATTGTTGTAAATCATGAATCCTGTTGTCATGAGATATCCAAGTGGATGTACTGAAAAGTAGAAAGTGTCAAGTACTCAATGTGCCTCCCTCACTCGAACCTGATGCCAGCTCATCTGTTAAGGATTAGATTTAGCAAATGCAGAGAGAGCGATGTGGAATATCTTCACCAAATTCAATGTCGCTACTGATGGTTTGCAACCTGTAACTCGTACCTTCATTCATCCCTCTCTCGGCTGCCTCCTTTAGATTGATCATAAGGTGTCTTCCGAGAATACAGAGAATGGTCGGACTCCCAAAAGCGTTTAGAAGTGCGGTCCCGACGAAAGGACTAGTATGCGCAATTCGAAGCTCGACTATGCTCGCCATGAAGCAAAATATCACACTGCAGAAACTTGTGTGACATAAATTTAAATTACACAAAAATGCTCTACTTACAAGATGTAATATAGAACTTGATCTTGAATCAGGACTCTAACAAGGCAGAAACCTTTGAAACCACATGTTGTTCTCCAGTACTCTGCTCCCTTGAAGAGGGCGAGGAAAAGTAAAATCATCCCGTATATCATAGGGATCGTCCTTGTATAATGTATGAGGGAGAGTTAAGATATATCATTATAACATTTACCATGTAATGTCCAATAAAAATGCCGGAGGATTCCCACTGAACCTACAAACGTCCAGGCCCTCTGCAAGATGACTAACTGAAACTAATGCACTTCATATTTCAGTAAAACTTTAGTAAAAAACAGAATGTTGAGCAAAGATCACACCATCTCCAATAATTGTAATATAAATAGTAAGGCTCGTCTCAATGCTTACTTCTATGCCAAGAAGTACCTTGAGATATATTGAGAGCTGTTTGTCTGCCACAATTAGATTTGAAAAATCGGCTGAGTAATGAGTACCAACTTTGCTGAGCAAGTGCCAATACACGAATTTGGAGAATATCTATAAAGTAAGTATGTGTTTGCAACATCTCCTTGGAATTCTGTATCCATTTACTCACAGTCTATGAGGAAAACTGTGGTCAAGCCTGACACTAGGCTTCATGATTGTGTTCATAATAGAGACAGTAGCTCACTCACCACATAAATTACTAACCCAAAATGTTGTCCGGCCTTTTGGCTAAATCAATAAAATGTATGGACATTTAGGAGATACTACATACAGCTACAAGAGACACATATTCGGATTCAAGATCAGCAAATTATCCAGCTAACAATGTTGTATTCTACCTGGAAAGGTTTTGTTTGGAGCTATTCTCTAGAGCAAAATGTTAATACCAATTGCTTCTCACAATTAAAAAGATCCAAATAATATTTGCTTACTTATTACAAGGCAAATTATCCTGAGGAGCCCAGCATAGTAATTCTAACAATCTAGGTCAGAAAATCCGAAAAGCGTACACCTTCACAATTCGCACCATAAAGTGAATCAGGCTAATAGTGTTATATGGCTTGGGCTTTGATGTTATCAATAAATGGTGATATTGTTTCAGAACACTCTTTTACTCACCCAAAAGTATTTTATCTACAGAGAATAGTTCAGTGGTTTTCCGGGTGGCAACTGAACAAATATACCTCTTTATCCAGAGTCGTGACTTTAGTGGCATTTTCGGTCAGTGGGAATATGACTAAAGAAACTGTAGAACGAACAGCTTTGATAGACCAAGGCGGTAAGTAGTACAGTATCAAGGTACTTTGCAATAATAACATCGGAAACAAATGATGACACTAAGCTTGGGTCAATAGACTCGCTATTAGAGTGGGAGAATAATGAGTGGATATGCCTGTAGTCAAGAGGCTGGTTTGCCATAGCAGATAGAGAGGGAAGGATAGGATACATTGCTGCCTAAGGTTTTCTTTATATAATGTTGAACTTAACCTTTGATGCAGGCTGTGTATATTACTCGTTGGTGCATTCATAGGACCCCCAGGCTAGGTTACAAGGTGATAGTATCACAATTGAACTTTGGTCCGATCAGATCGAGAATTCATGTAAGGCATAAAAGTATACAGTGGTGACTCTGTAAAGAGATACAATTTTATTAAGGGTACATATATTTTACTATGTTTGGTATGAAACTGGAAACTAAAACGCAATAACTGACCTGGCGTATCAGGGTCACTTGCTCATCATATCAGTTACAAGAGGGTTTGTTCTTTGAGGATCAAACAATATATATCTATCAATGTCTGTGTTTGCATACTACTGCTTAGTAATTGACAGCCCTTGAGTTTGCCTACAACTGTTTTATGTCCTGGACCTGCGCTCCCTTTATGAAAAACTATCTGTCTGATAGGCAGTGTAGGCGGTGTTTTCTTGTCAGAGGCGCACCTCAATTTGATATTCGATCGTAATCAAGGATTAGGCAACGCTTCTATATACTGCGAAGTTCCGGCTTTGTATACAAATGTTCTTACTCATCAAATTTTTTAATCTCTGTTGAAGGTATCTTCTACAGTGTCTGATATCTAGTCGAGTGCTGAATCAGTAGAGTTGCTCAACATGTAGGATGGGCTGTAGGGGATGTATCTTTGTCGGTTGAGTTCCAGAAGAATGTACTCATCAATGTCACCATGTGTCTCGATCATACCAAAAGGTATACCATTATTTGGTTCCACCTGAGACTCAACTTGTCCCACAGCCGTGCAAGAAGATAGAGATGACATGTTTCAATTATCGATACGATCACATAGTCTCTGCATAGGAAATTCCCTTGTGTATCAAATTGATAGGAAGACAAAGGCTCAGTTACGTAGCAAATTTAAAAACAACGAAGTCTTGATCTAGTGCATCTGTGTCGAAATCCTCTTATTTGTATTTCTAACTATGATTAGAAAAGGATGAATATAAAGAAACATCGAATGCCGACGGGAGTCACCAACAACTATTGAAGTAAGCAAGTGCCATCAACGCGATCAAAATGGACTATTTCCAGACTGGCCGTAGTGCACGTGACTTTAAGACGCGAATATTTCTTACTTAGATTTTTTTTCCCTACTGTTTTTAGCGTGTCTTGACTCGAGTCACCTCGCTTGGCGGGTATAAAACAACGAGCACGCTCGTTCTATATACGTATTCCCCTTTGAAACTGATATCGGGAAGATGTCTCTCCCACGTTCGTTGATGTCCCTCGCAGACCTCGAACCGCGACAAATCAACCGGATAATTGCGGTTGCTCGCAGGTTAAAGAACATTTCCAGAGGCGTTCTTCCACCGCGAAGGCTAGACTCGAGGGAACTGGCATGGGGAGGTTCTGAAGAGCTGCAAAATGCGGGACAGCTCCATGCACCTCCACAGTCGTTGCGGAACATGAGCATCGCATTACTATTTTCCAAACGCAGTACGCGCACGCGCGTTTCGGCAGAGACTGCTATTGGATTACTTGGTGGACAGGCAATCTTCCTGGGTAAAGATGATATTCAGATGGGTGTTAATGAAAGTGTACGGGATACTGCCAGGGTATTGAGTGGGATGTGCCAGGGTATATTTGCACGCGTCGGCGACCATAGTGAGATCGAGGTATGGATATTGTGCCCGGTGAAAAATATATCTTGAGTGCTGAAAGCAGAATTATTTGTAGGAACTCGCAAGATATGCTAAAGTACCTGTAATTAATGCTCTTTCGGCTTATTGGCACCCTTTACAAGTACTTGCCGACCTTCAAACTCTTTACGAAGAGAGGTCGCTTCAAGAGGAAGCAGCTCCTGTGCCCCAGCCACTCGCACCCGAAGGTCCAGAACAAGGTACTACAACGGAAATAACAACTGAACCTCCGTCTGAACTTGTCGATGCCAATATTAAAATTGCTGCCACCACTGGTCGTACCAAAAGAAAGATGCGAAATATAACAGTTGCTTATGTCGGCGATAGTGCGAACGTACTGCATGATATGCTCGTCACCTATCCGCGTCTCGGACATAAACTCCAAGTTGCATCTCCGTCGAATCCGCGATATCGGGCACCGACTCCGGTTTGGGATAAAGTAGTCGAACTTGGATGCGATAATTCAATTACGTGGACAGCAGACCCACGCGAAGCAGTTCAGGGTGCAGACGTCGTTTTTACTGATACCTGGATTAGTATGGGCCAGGAAGCGGAATACGAGCAACGGGTGAAGGACTTCCAGGGCTACCAAGTCACGGAAAAACTTTGTGAAGGAGCAAGACCGGATTGGAAATTCATGCATTGTTTGCCTCGGAAGAGTCACGAGGTCGACGACGAGGTAATTAATACTTTATTTTTGAAAAAAATTCAGTGGAGGAAACGACTAAATGGCTTGCTTTACAGGTATTCTACGGTCCACGCTCACTTGTCTTCCGCGAGGCGGACAACCGTAAATGGACGACAATGGCTCTTTTCCAGTCAGTGCTTGGCTCACGTCCTATCCCAACTAAACCATTGATTTATTCCCGTTGTTTTGCAGCATGATGATCGGAGGCGGCTCTTACGAATCATTCAGACATAAAGGACCCCGATTAGAAACACTGAAGCTCCTCGTCAAGAAAAGTTCTTACAGCAAGGACAGGGGCCAAAAGCAACCTTCGGACTTCTTGGACCGCATAAAACAAAGCAAGGAAGGACAATCACCGAAGGAGGGAGATGTAGAGAAGTCAGAGACACTACCCACACAGTCGGTGAAGGACGCGGCCGATGCTTCTACACTGTGAACGTCGACTACAATGTCGATGTCATGATTTCGCTTACAGGTTAGAAGGAGAAGGGGATTCAAAAGATAAGGATGTCGCATCGGCAAGAGAAACTGGTATGACCGTCGGCAAGGTGCTGATGGTGCCAAAGTCACTTGGTGCTCTCTTACCGCTGCGCTATATAGGGTGGAACAGGTATAATGTAGCGAGAACTGGCTAGTCTTGGAAATACACTAATATAGTTGCTACTCCCACTGTGTCTCATTTCCGACCCCCGCAACCGACCCCGAAGTTCCCCAAGACGTCATTGAAGCTGCACGACAGTATGAAGGTAACCCCACTTTAGCAAGGCACATGCACGAGTTGCAGCCACTAACTGGGCGAGCAGCAGATTCTCTGAACACTTGAAAAACTATCACACATCACCGCGGTATTGTTATCGGCACTGCCAAACGCTGTTGAACGGGTGCTCGACACAGCTAAACTCAACCGTCACTGTACTAGGGTAAACAAAGCAAGGAAAGTCTAGGATAAACAACAACATAAATCACTGGGTAATGAAATAAAACATAAAATACAACACGACAATAATCTCAAAGGTATCCGTCGTAACTAAATACTAAATCCGTTCCGTTCCAGGGAGAAATCCACATACAAGGCAAATGAGTGAATGAGTACAGTCCAGTCAATCCAAGTTTGCCCACTGCGGGCTTTTGGTTCGAACGAAGGTGAAATAGCGAGGAAGAAAAGCGAAGTCGAAAGTAAAAGAAGGAAGCAGTAGAGAGCTCGGGACGCTATACTGCTTGCCCTATTCCATAATACGGATGCGAATGCGAATGTGCTTGCGAATAATCTTGGTGCTCATACCTCAGTTCCTGCACTTCGCGAAGCGGCGAAGTCGTACTCTCCGCTGCACTTATCGGGGACTCCATGTCCTTATCCTCCCGATGTGCGACATCTCCCCACGCCGGTTCTCTTTTGTCCAGCGGAGTCAAGGTCGGTACTCCATCAAATCCGTATCCCATGCCCCACCCCGTGTTCCGGCTTCCTAAGCCATATGCATCGTCACCTTCGCGCATCTGGACTTCACTCGCCATGACCGAAACACCGCCGACGCTCCCAAGCTCAAACGCATCTCCTCCTCTCCCATCTCGGATACCAGCGCTAGACAATGGTCGACGAAACGCGTAGTACGCGCCGGAAGCATTGCTCCGCATCTGAGAGTCTGCTGTGGTAGTGGATACAAAGCCATTGTTGGTGTACGCTCCTCGGATGTGTAACAGGACACGGGAGCAGAAGATGCTATGCAAAATTCGCTGCGTTCTATCGATAGCAGCACAGTTGTTATCCAAAAGCGGGGAGTGGCGGGGAGAAGAAAGATGTAAGTCAGTGCCCTGGTTTTCTGGATTTCGCTAGAGTAGGAAGAGTCCGACGTACATGATGAGAAATTCGTGCAGCTCAACCTATCATAAATATTATCGGGATAATCACTTCAGTGCATGCTAATTCAGCGGAAGAATAACGGACGTACGGGAGCAGAAAGGATAGTAACAAGGTTCGCAATGGATGTACCTTTTCCATAAGTCAATTCGCGTTAGCATCCGAAATCCGAGAAATGGAAGGTAGAAAATGAGTCCGCTATGGGCGGGGCCAGAGAGAAGACGAGATGAAGGAAAATTAACGTACATAAAATAAATATAAAATAAATAACACCGTCTTTGAACATTCGCACCATAAGAGTGCTGCGTGAGTGTTTGACTATTAACAAGATAATGTCAGGAAATAATACTTTAAAATGGGAGGTGGGTACATACAGTGTTCAAGTGCTTTTATAATTAGCAGGACTAGCATAGCCGATTCTGTGACCATTACAATCGCAAAATCGACAAACACGAATCTGTTGGCAAATTGCAGTGGGCAGCCGGTATACGCAGCTTGAAAGGGACCCAGCGAAGCATCTAAGAAGTATACGTCCGTGATCGGAGAACATAAGGGGACGAATCAGTAAGTTGGGCCACACGCAAGAAGCAGAAGTAGGAAGCATACCGGAAACACCTCCAAGATATCGCGTTAAGACGAATATATCAGCGACTAGAGCAGTCTAAGAAGCAGGAGAACACATCAATCAGAATAGAACCTCATCTGCGACGCGCTCGCGCATTTTAAGATGGGAGAGGACTTACCAAGACAAGAACCGTCAGTAATATCGTGATCCATGTCTGGCGACCCCAGATAGCCCACGTTCGCATCGTCAATATGACTATATGCGAAATAACGAATATCAGACAGAGATACTTCAGTGATTTGATGCTCAACGAACAACGTTAAAAGTCCTCACTGACCCTGTGCAACAACAAATCCAAACGCGACTGTTCCTGTTCCACATGAAAACTATGAGGGGTGTTGCTTGTGCTTTATCAGGTAGAAACGTACCTCCGACTGTCTGGAATAACTTCACGCATGCCTAATAATGACCCAGCGCGATTAGCATCACCGCCACATTGTTCAATACACCAAAAATATAGGTTACCGATGGATCAGACCCGACCATCAACACTAAAAGAACACACGCGCCCAAGAAGCAAATTGCTATCAGCTCACACTTCTCTTATATCTATCAAAGGAAGGCGAAGGTGGTGACCAACTCACCATACAATAACAAAATCAAATCCACGAACGGGAAATATCGATTCAGGAAGAAAAGTACTTTCGGTACACCCCATCGTGAAGGCCAGATGAGAAATGTCTCTTCATCCAATGTGAGGAAATAGTCGTATACCTGTAGGTCCAAAGGCGGAAGATGCGTGTGAGCGAGAGAAAAGTCGTCAATGAGAATTTTATGCGTGTGAGCAACGTACGAAGAGCATAAAAGTCGCGACTGTGTGTTGTCAACGTATTCAAGTGAGTACGAGGTCTCGTCCATGAAAAGTCCAAGACACATACCCAGGGTATACTAACAACGATTACGATTGCAATAAGAGGTGACGTGCTTCAGATTACGCCGAGCGGATCATTGAAACAATATTATGACACACACACCTTTGCAATATTGACATTCTGCAAGATATCTATAAATGCTGCTAGAGCTGCTGCATCACCGTTCTCAGTTGCAGAGACAATGTGCATCATGTTCGTGTTTACTGAAAGCAACATCGTTCGTCCTAAGTGTCCTCTTGGTATGCCACTGTACAGTGCTGCGGTCCCCTAAGTATGCACCTCAAGTCGTAAGCTGGTAGTACAAGCACCCGATAATATCGGCCAAGAGCGGCCGCTAAAGCAGAAATAAACAGAAATTTACAAGTCGCGGTGAGAGCGCGAGCGCGGGAGGGGCTGGTGCCACGGAGGTACAGAGACGGGTAGAGAGATACAGAGGGGAGCGTGGACTATGGTGTGGGTGGGCGGCATGGACACACGATCCACGGGCACGGGTGGTTTTGTAACCACCAGAGCGCGAACTTTCGAAGTCTAAAGGACAAAACTGGGACCTTGGGTGGGGTTCCTGGAGAACCGTGCGGAGAATCGGCGATCGAGGCTGGGTAAATTGGTATGGTGATTGGTGTCCATTTATCTTACCGTATCACCTCCTCCTTCCTTCAGAACTGTTTTACCAGTATTACTGGTCCTTTTTGATTTTGCTCCGTGATCTTGATCGGACATGGCCATTTCCTTTTCTTGCCAATAAAGTAGCCATAGAAGAAAATTTTACTCCCGCTCCATGCGCAGGCAAGTCAGGCGGAACAGGTCGTCAGTTAGAAAGCTGGTTACAGTGCAATGTTGAATGCAAGTTTTGCGTTTGCTCATTTGATAGATGACACGGGTATCGGTGCAAAGAAGAGACCGGTGCTCAATACGCGCGTGCGTACTACTCATCTATATACAGTCATCAAGATTTCACGAATCTCAAGAATCTCTCTACAAACTCTTAGTATTCCTATATAGCAAAACGTCCGCGAGAGCATGCTTTATCCATCTATCTGCTACTTAAAATATCCGAAATCCATCAAAAATTTTGTTGAAGTGCCAATAGACAAAGACAGTCATTAAATATATGTAATTACCTAAGCAGTGTTTTCCATGTGATGATTTACCTTGTGCCTCATGAGCCTCATATGTATCCGCATGCATATCCAGGGTAAAGTAAACTTCCCGCTTTTTGCTCACTTCCGCTCCGACAGCTCGCTCTGTGTCCCCGTGGGCTATGAAACGCCTCCATGTGCTTACAAATTGCGGTTCCGAAGCTTTCCGTCGACTCCGATACCTCCGTTTACTCCTGCGTGCGCCGTGTGGTACGCCCTGACAAAGCGGATAAACCTCGGAAAGATCAGCACAGTCCTGCCCGAAGACCGTCCCTTGCTTGGAGTCGAGTAATGGCTCGGCCTTGGGAACGACACAGACTTGGTGAGGTCTCCTAGAATTTATGTATCACATTGCAAAATCATTTTTCTTGTCTTATCTAAGCGGTTATCTATCCGAAAAATAAGCTTTGAGTGATCTGGATTGCAGGTGAGAAAAGGCTATCAAGATTGCATTCATCCTTGGGAACGCATTCGAAGCAAATGTTCTGGATCCCAACGCACAGTATTTGCCGACGAACAAGGGGTGACTTGGGCATGCCTTGTAATTGTTTTGCTAATGTAAAGACACTTCACAACAAACAGCGAGGTGTATTGGCTCCGGCGGAGACTATCACGTCTGAATCAACCTGACAGTTGATTGCAGGTCGAGCTCCGGAGCTGTTCACAACGAAACTCGGCCGAAGTCCAAGAAGGCATACTGAATGCACAAGCACTGCTTTAACATTTAACAAGAAGACGAATGAATAGCTTCTTTCACGCCTTTTCGCCTTAAGGAAGCCGGCGTGAATGATGCGAACGCCTCAGCTCTGGGGAACACATTGTGTAAATTCAATGCCACGCGCCGGTCACTGTAAGTTGAGCCCCGGAGCTTTTCACAAGGGAGCCTTTATCATGCATAACAACCTAGTGAATTTTGCTCACCGTCGGACTCATTTCGGTCAAGTGCCTGTTCCAGGTGTTTTCTAGTTTTATCTTCAGCTTGAACTGCTGCAAATTTGCACACTCTGATAATCTTTGTAAGATATAGTATAATAAACAGATTAAATAAACTCACACAAGATAGTATAACAACTTTCTAAGCCTCATACTATCTGCAAGTCATACAAAACAAAAAGTTACAGGTATTTGTACTGTGATATATATATTTGTATGTTAGAATACAGTATAATATATGGACAATTTGTCTAATTCACTGAACTTAATTAGTTCAAAACTTGTATTTAAAACTATAGCATGTAATAAACAACAATGAAATAATATAGCTTAGACTGCTAAGACATGTTATTGTTCTGTTCCTGTTCTGCAATTCCCCCCCCCCTCCCTCATTTATTCTGTTATTCTGTAGTATTCCTTACATACTATATTTTCCTTACTACTTTAATAATTCATCTATACCAAAATTCTAGTAATATCTGTTATGTTTTATAATGATGTACAACATACAACCAAACTTGAGAGTAGAAGCAAACAGGATCTGAAAAATCATACTAGGTGTTTGTATTTTTTGAAAATGCAAGCAAACAAATAAGGTTAATTGAAAGTTACTACTTAACCAAGTAATGTAGGGTAGAGAGAATAATAGGTAATAGAATGAAAATGTAAGTCAAGTATAGTGTTTGTATTACTTAGCTGGTGATTTGAACAAAACATACTGTATTAGTTATAATGAGAAAAAAATACAATACAAGTAATAGGTAACAATAAGCTAATACAGTTGATTATAGTATTCTGAATCCTGTTCCTGAACACTAATGAAATAGATGAAATCTGGAGAATGTAGCTACTCTAATAAATGTTAAACCATTATTTCTTCTATAGTATGTATCTCTACTACTACAACTACTAATAAAACTTCTACTTCTGTTACACAGTGACTCCCTTGTACTAGACAAAAGTAAGTATAAATAAAATATAAACACAGGTAGCTCCTTACTATTAGTAACATGCTAGGATTAATATAGCTCATTATAAACAAGATTAATGTGGATAAATTTTGACAGTTCAGTATATACATAATTACTACTACATTTGTATATTTGTGCTAGAACAGAGTATCTATCTTTAGTACTATATTTTCTTTATTTATAAGATAACTCTTAAACTTCTTAGAATTATAGTTTAGAAGGAGAGGGCTGAAGTTACTATATACAGTATATAGTTTAATTTACAGTTTCTTTATATATGTAATCTTTGTTACTTTTATTAGCTAATATAATACAGAAGTGAACAGATAGTAAAAATAGTAAAAATCAAAAGTTATATCTTATATATTGTCTATATATAAATACTTCAATCTTAATTATAATTTGAATTAAATAAAGTACTCTCTGTCAGTAACAGTGTAGAGGGGACCTGAAGGCTCAGTAAGGGGACCCAGGCTACAATTATCCTACATAACAGAAATACAGAATGTGAGCACCAGAATATAGTCAGAACTTGTAGAACAGACAGAGAGAGAGAGTGAGACAAGAGTAGAGTATATAGAGTGAGTCTAAGAGTACAGGACTATCTAGAGTAGATAAGATTAAGACTATAGGACCAGTCTGATCTTGTACACTTATATATACTAAACTACACAAGAGTACTCAGAGAGTATGAGCTACTAAGAATGATAAGCTACAAAGAATGAAAAAAAGGAAGGTCAAAGATAAAGGTACAAAGAATGAAGGGATAGACAAAGGGTAAGAGACTATAGAATGAACAAAGAATGAAAGAGTGGTCAAAGGAATGGAATGATAAAGTAAGGAGGGGTAGTAGTAAGAGTTAGTATGTATATAGTCTATAGACAGTACTCCTGAGGGATAGAAGTCCTAAGTTCTGGTACAGAAGGGTGTAGAACCCTTAGAACTGAAGGTACAAGAGTAGAGAACTGTAACATTACCCCCCCTCTAAAACCAATTGTCCTAATTAGTGAACATTAGGCTTGGTTAGTAGTTTAAGTATAGGTTAGAATAGTAGGGTTTAGAAATCTGTAAGGCAGAGTTAATGTAGAGCACCTGGATGAAGTTAATAGAAGTCTTAGATTGTCTTAGTAGTATAAGTAAGATTCTCAGTAGGTTCCCAAGTGTGTTCTTCAACTAGGTATCCCTTCTAGTAGATAAGGAACTTAAGCTTTCTGTATACTAGCTTAGTATCTACTATATACTCTACTTTGTATTCTGGTTTGGAACTGATGAGTTCTAGTAGAGGTAGTAAGGGTCTTTGTTGTGAAGGAAAACCTGGATCATAATACTAAGATAGTAGAACCTTGTTAAACACTAGGTGTATACACTTTTATATTGCTAGAAGTTAGAGTTTGTAGACAGAGGTACTAACCTTCTTTTCAATAATGAAGAGTCTGAAGTACTTGTTGTCCAACTTCTTTATTAGGCAATCTGTAGTCAGGTTAGTAGCTTCTAGTATAACTTTGTCTCTAGGCTAGTAATTCTTAGCTACAGATCTCTTCTAATTGTAGTTCTACTTTATTACCTGTACTACCTTCTTTAAAAGAGTATGTGTGTCTTCCCTAATCTTGTGTATCTGTTCTACAAAGTCTGTTACAGATTCAGAACTACTGTTCTAGTTTAGAACTGTCCTCTAGTATGAATGTCTCTTATAATTGAGAAAGAACAGGGACTGTCCTGTTGTAGAGTGTTACTAGTTATTGTGTACAAATTCTGCTAGAGCTACCTATTCAGACTAGTCTGACTACTAATGATTAATGAACATCTGAAGGTAGAGCTCAATCTCCTGATTGACTCACTCAGTTTGACTGTCAGTCTGTAAGTAATATGTAGTAGAAGGGTTCTCTTGAATTCTGAGAAGTACATACAAGTCCTGTATGAATTTCAACTTGAATTACAGTCTGTGATTGTGAATGAGCTTCTAAGGGAGTTTGTGTAACTGGAAAACATGATTCTAATAAATACACACTATACCTTCAGAAGTAAGTTCTGTTCAGGTTAGAACTGTATAGACTTGCTTAGAGAATTAGTTGACAATTATACAGATAGTATTATAACCCTAAGACTTGAGTAGCTTACTAATCAGGTCTACTAAGACTTCCTCCTAAGAGTGATCTAGGATTCAATACAGATATAGAGGAGTCTGAACCCTTGTCTAGTAGGCTTTAGTCTATTAGTACATATTATAACTAGTTACATACTTTAGGATTTCCTTCTACATTTCTAACTACTAGTAGTTCTAAGTAATGAGTTTCTGTGTTTTGTGTCAGCCTAAATGTCCTACAGTTGGATTGTTATAATAAGCTCAGACAATGTTCTCCTACAGCTTCTAATCCTTCAGAACATACAGTCAGCCTTCCTAGTAAACCTGTCTATCCTTATCCTCCTCCTAGTCTCTAGCCTACTTCTCTAACTACTTTACTACAACCTAGTCCTATGTGTGTCTTAGAGCTTACTATATATAAGTAACAAAGTCAACATTCTTGGATTTGAGTCAGATCTCTCAGATTGTCTTAGACACAAAACAGGAATTGTCTAGGAGAACAAGATTTTCATTATTATTCTCCCCCCTTTTATAACCTACTTGTCTTGAGAGTAAATCAGCTTTTGTCATTTGTGTTCTAAGTTTGTAGGTTAGTACAAAGTTGTAGTTCTACAGTTCTAACATTCAGCAGGCCTGACAGTAGTTAAGCTTCTAAAGTGTCTAGAAGTACTAGAGATAAAGGTGATTACTCTAAATCTCAAACTTTTGTATAATACTAAGGAGATATTAACACTACTCCTCTAGGGAACAGACAATTGTAAGGAGTTCCTTATTATAGATAGAGTAGTTCCATTCTGTTACAGAGAGGGATTCTAATCAGAATACTATCAGATACTACTTTCTGTCAATAAACTAGAACAGTACTACTCTATTTGTAAAGTTGGAAGAGTCAGCTTTGACTCAGAACTTGTCTACAACTGTTAGAACTACTAATATAGGCTTACTAGTAATGGCCTACTTAAGAGACTTGAATGTAGACTACTACTGATTACCCTATTGTTAAGGAACATCTTTACTAGTAAGATTGTGAAGGGGTCAGACAATAGTACTAAAGTCTTAAATAAAGTATTAATAATAGTTTATAAACTTAAGGAATACTTGGACCTGTTTCAGGTTTTAAGGTTGTAGCTAGTTCCAAACTGTAGTTACCTTTGCCAGATTCATACAGACCTCTCCTCCACCAATCACAAAGCCTAGATAATCTACTGACTCCTACACAAAAGAACACTTTACTTCTTAGAGGAACAGTTTATTATTTTAGAGCTATTATAGAACTGCTCAGATTAGTTAGTAATAGTACTTGAC